TTTCCTCCTCCTCCTCCTCCTCTCCCCTTTTCTCCTCCTCCTCCTCCTCCTCCTCCTCCTCCTCTCCCCTTTCCTCCTCCTCCTCCTACCCCCTATTTCTTCCCCCCAATCCTCCTCTTCCTTATCCTACTCCTCTCCCCCACCCCCACCCCACACCAGCATCCCCCCCACCCTCCCCCACACCATCACCCCCACCCACCCCACACCAGCATCCCCCTCCCCCTCACCCCTACCATCACCCCCCCTCCCATCACCCCCCCCCACCCCCTTACCCCATGCCCAGTTGCTCTGAGGATACCCCCCCCCCATGCCCAGTTACTCTGAGGATACCCCCCCCCCCATGCCCAGTTGCTCTGAGGATGCCCCCCCCCCCATGCCCAGTTGCTCTGAGGATGCCCCCCCCCCCCCATGCCCAGTTGCTCTGAGGATGCCCCCGCCGCCATAATCAGCCGCTGACCCATAATTATTCACCGTGTAAGGAGGAGGAGGAGGAGGAGGGAGGGCGCCTTCCTGCCTGACGCGCTGATGAGCTCTCGGCCACGACGGAGGGAGCGAGAGGGCGAGGGACGACGTATCCTGAAGGGGATGAGGGGTAGGGGGGGGGGGTTAGGGACGGAGCGAGGGGCGAGGGACGACGTATCCTGAAGGGGATGAAGGGGTAGGAGGGGGGGTAGGGAGGGGGGAGAAGGGAGAGGGGTCATACGTATCCTGAAGGGGATGGGGGGGGGGTAAGGGAGGGAGCGAGGGGCGAGGGACGACGTATCCTGAAGGGGATGAAGGGGTAGGAGGGGGGGTAGGGAGGGGGGAGAAGGGAGAGGGGTCATACGTATCCTGAAGGGGATGAGGGGGGGGTAAGGGAGGGAGCGAGGGGCGAGGGACGACGTATCCTGAAGGGGATGAAGGGGTAGGAGGGGGGGTAGGGAGGGAGAGAGGGAGAGGGGTGCTACGTATCCTGAAGGGGAAAGGGGGGGGTTAAGGGAGGGAGGGGCGAGGGACGACGTATCCAGAAGGGGATGGGGTATGGGGGGGGCAAGGGAGGGAGGGAGGGAGGGATGGAGGGTAGGAAGGGGGGAGAGGGGAGAGGGGTCATACGTATCCTGAAGGGGAACGGGGGGGGGGGGGGGTAAGGGAGGGAGGTAGAGGCGAGGTCCTCCGTATCCTGAAGGGGATGGGGTAGGGGGAGTAGGGAGGGAGGGAGGGAGAGGGGTCTTACGTATCCTGAAGGGGATGGGGGGTATCGTGAAGGGGAAGGGGGAGGGATAGGGAGGGTAGGAAGGGGGGAGAGGGGTTCTACGTATCCTGAGGGAGGGGTATAGGGAGGGTAAGGAGGGGGGAGAGGGGGAAGAGGGAGGGAGAGGTGTGGTCCTACGTATCCTGAAGGGGATGGAGGTATGGAGGGAGAGAGGGAGGGTAGGGAGGGGGGGGGGAGGGTTCTCCGTATCCTGAATGGGAGGGGGGGGGCAAGGGAGGGAGAGAGGGAGGGTAGGAAGGGGGGGAGAGGGGGAAGAGGTAGGAGAGGTGAGGAGTCCTACGTATCCTGAAGGGGAAGGGGGGATAGGGAGGGAGAGAGGGAGGGTAGGAAAGGGGGGAGGGGAAAGAGGGAGGGTAGGAAGGGGGGAGAGAAGGAGGGGGGGAGGGGGCAAGGGATAGAGGGTAGAAGGAAGGGAAGAAGGAGAATCGCAAAGGGTAAGGGAGTATGGGATAATGGGGGGGGGGGAGATGAGAGGGTGAGAATAGGGAAGAATGGGAAAGGAATAAGGGGGGGGGGGGAGAGAAGAGGGAGGATGACAAAGGGGGAAAGAGGAAAGGAATAAGGGGGGAGGGATAGAGGGGAGAGGAAGGACGGGAAGAAAGGAATAGAGAAGAGGGGAAAATTGGGTAAAACGAGGGAAGGTAAGAAGTAAGAGGGAAATAGGTGAGTTAAGGAAGAAGAAGACGAAAGCAGGGCGCTAGGGCGAAGGAGGAAGAGGAGAAGGGATAAGAAGAAGAAGAAGAAGAAAAGTGAAGTAGGAAGAAGAGGAGGATGAAGAGGAAGAAGAGGAGGAAGGAGAGGAGACAGAGAAGTTAGAAGAAAAAGAATAAGAATAATAAGAAAAGTGAAGAAAAGAGGAGGAGGAATAGGAATAGGAAGGAGAGGAGGAGGAAGAAGAGGGGGAGGAAAGAGAGGAGGCGCAGAAGGGAGGAAGAAGAAGAAGAAGAAGGAAAGTGAACTAAGAAAGAGAGGAGGAGGAAGAAGAAGAAGAGGAAAATAAGGAGGAGGAGGAAGAAGAGAAAAAGAGTAGGAGGAGGAGGAGGAAGAGAAGAAGAAGAAGAAGGAGGAGGAGGGGGAGGGAGAAGGAGAAAAGGAAGAAAGAAAGTGAATTAAGAAAGAGAGGAGGAAGAGGAAGAAGAGGAAAAGAAGAAGGAAGAGGAGAAAGGAGAGAAGGAGGAGGAGAAGAAAAAAGAAGAAAGAAAAAAGCAGAAACAGAAAAGTGAAGTAGGAATGAGAGAAGGAGAAAAA